AAGGACTTGTCTATCTTCGTATGTTTCTGAGTCACATAGAAAGCAGGTGTGTTGGCTTGTCAGCCTTGGGCCTCCTGCTGCTGTTTGCGCCTGGCCTAAAGGTGTGTCACCTGCAGTCCAGCATGTGGCGTATGGTGGCAGGCTGCCAAGGGAGTGCTGGCACTGACTTCCTTTGCCAGGCATAGGGAAACATTGATAGGCAGGAGAGGTAGAGGGTGTTCAGATCGCTGCTGAGATGACCGTCTAGGGTGACACTCACTCTTACTTCACGGCACCTGCTGTTGTCAGAGAATGGGGCTTTTAACAGTCAGTAGCTGTCTTACTTTTAATTTCAGGACGAAACCACGGAGAAACTGAGTGCTCATTATGCAAATTATGTGCATCGCACAGCACTGAGGCATGATGCTATAATCCGTCGGGGAACAGGTGATATATGGTAGCAAGGGGCTTCCTGACTGCTTTGCATATCTCAGTTTCTTGGGTAGCATCCACTCAACATTGTTGACTTCTAGCAATACTACTCATACCTGGAGATGACAGCAGTGGTATTTTTCTTTTAAAATATATCAACTGTGACAAACAAGCTAGGATCTGCACAGCATGAGGTTACCACTATGGCTGACTATATCTACATACACATAACATGTCTATATCTGCCAGCAGCCCTGTGATCAACATTCAAATCACCAACCATCACAACCACAAAACCTGAAAGAGGAAAGGTGGCCACCAGAATTTCCCAGACAGAAAAAAGCTGGCAGGGAGGCTCCCTGAGGGCTGTCACAGTCACATGGTGACCGTAGTCAGACTCCCTTCCTCCTGTGGCCCAGCCCAGTAACCAGCCCAGGGCCGACTCCTCTGGTGCGTTCCTGCCAATAGTGAGGCCAGACCCACCTTAGGTACTGAGCTGTGAAAGTCAGGTTCCCTTTGGCAAAAGCAGGTGACTCCCACTGTAGAATGTTCTTGAAATTAACAGAATTCATTCTGACATTTTCAGGAGGTGGCACCATTCCCAATGCTATGAAAATACAAGAAAAACATTTACAACCTTTTTCCTCAAAACAGATGCCCATGAAAAGCCCACATCCCGCACTTGGTTCTCCTCTATGGTGAGGGAGGGAGAGAGAGACAGGTTGGCTGTGCTGAGGAGTCTAGATTTTCTTTGAACAGCCATGAGGAGAAATTTCTGGAGAGGCAGGAGTAAAGTGGGGACAGACAACGGAGCCCTGGATTTGCATGGTGGCAGAAAGGTATGAGGGGGTAGACTGGGGTACATGGATTTCAGATATATTTCCAGAGGTAAAAACAAACTGGAGACTTCCTGATACATTTGATGCCTAAAAGCTGAGGTCAATGTCCATTTTGGGCTTAAGCAGGGGTGCCCGGATTGGAGCTCAGCTGGGGAACTGACGAGTCCCGTTTGAGCTGCATTAGGTTGGAGATGCTGGAGAGACGCTGAAGTAGGAATGTCAGGGAGAGAGTCAGATGAATGAGCCCAGAGGTCACACCAAGAACAGATTTGGGCTAGAGACAGAAATTATTTTCAAACCTTTTCATAGAGAATTTGAAACCTGGCCAGGCACAGTGGCTCGCGCCTGACATCAGCTCTTTGGGAGGCCGAGGCGGGTGAATCACCTGAGGTCAGGAGTTTAAGACCAGCTTGGCCAACATGGTGAAACCCCATCTCTACTAAAAATACAAAAATTAGCCAGGCATAGTGGCGCACACCTGTAATTCCAGCTACTCGGGAGGCTGAGGGAGGAGAATCGCTTGAACCCGGGAGGCGGAGGTGGTGGTGAGCCGAGATCAAGCCATTGCACTTCAGCCTGGGTGACAGAGCAAAACTCTGTCTCGAAAAAAAAAAAAAGAAAGAAAGAAAAAAAAGAAAGAAAAGAAAAGAAAATTTGAAATCTACACGCAAGTAGAAAAGTAGAAGACTATAATAAACCACCACCCATCACCCAACGGATACCAAGAGAGAGATAAATGTGCGAGTCATGGGCCTATAGCCCGTGTTTAATGCCAAAGTTTGGCTGAAATCCCCCAAAGGAACAGTGCCGGGGGGAAGGAGAGAAGAGGCCTTGGGCTTCACAATTAGCTGCATAGAGACCCGACAGAGCAGGAGGGTCCCAAGCAGAGACAGCCTGACGGGTAGGCGGGAAACCAGAGGAGTATCCCGGAAGGCCAGGGAAGAGTTCATGAGAAAGGAGGGAGGTGACCATCGTGTTATTGGAACCTAGGCAGTCAATTTAGAGGACAGAAAAGGTTTCAATGGATTTAGGTTTAGAAGCCATGGGGGGCACTGGGGGGGCAGAATCCAGATTTCAGGGTGCTCAGGCCTGAACCGGAAGGAGGGGAGGTGCAGCGGGTAATGGGAGGCACATCTGTAGGGAGGGCTAGCACTGAGGTGGGCAGACTTGGGGTCGGGGAGGGCTGTCAGAGCACTCGGGGGCTGGTGGGGGCCTCCACTTGAACTGATGGTCTCCAGAAGGGCCAGATGACAGCCACGGTGGGATCCTGGGTCTTTCGGGGAAGCTACTTTACTTAGACGCCCGCCAGCAGAGAGCTGCAGGAGGACTGGGAGTTAAAAGACGCCGGGAGTCTCCCCTGAGTTTAGGGCCCAGACGGTCTGTAATTCGGATGCGGACGGGGCTTCCTCCTGTTACAGAATCTCCGGCAGCAGCAGCCTAGCTGTGTCTCAGCAGCCGGCCGTGGCGTTTGCATCTTCTGTCCCGAGGTCCCGATGGCCCGACCGGGCACTTAAGTCACTTTCATGGTGCCCAGGGATGGGATCACGGGTGGCATCTCGCGGGGCCTCCCGGTTCCCAAGCGCGCCCCCTCCCCGCGGACCCCTCACCTGACACCAGCAGGCAGCCGCCCAGCCAGCTCCCGAGGCTCCGCGCCATGGACGGGCGCCAGGGGTGCCGCGGCTTCCTCCAGGCACACGACCCCCGCCCGCGCCTGAGAGCGCTCGTACGCGGTCGCTTCCGGGAACCAGCGGAGCGGGGCGGGGCGGGGCGGGGAGGGGCCGGGCGATCGGGCTCCTACCCCGCTGCAGGCCCCGCCCACCAGCCCGGGTCCGCCCGCGAAGTGCGGGGCACCGGCTTGGCAGGTGCACACGAGGAAGAGGAAGGGAGCCTCGCAAACTTTGAAAGTCGCCGTCAAGTCAAATAAATACCCTACAACACCAACCCAGGACTGAGATCTGGATGCTGGAATGACGGTGGTGGTGGTGGCTTTCAGTATTCCCCAGGTTTTGTCCGGAGCACCGGCACGCCCTCTCTTAAAGTCCTCTCTCCGCATAGGTGAGTTAAAAGCATTCCATCAGCAAATCCAGTTTGAGGGTCTTCTTTACCCTTCTCCTCTCCAGGGATAAACAACACAAAGCCCAGTCATTTTTACGCAAATAACTAGTTTCTTTCAGGGACTACTGAGAAAACGTTAATTTCCTCTTTTTAACTTGATGAGTGGTGAGATGGGAAAATCCAGAGCTGTCCAATGTCTTGGGTAATCTACAGCATCGCCTGATGTCTGACGCTAGGACACCACGTAAAGTCAAGCCAAGGGAAGTGAATGCGCCCTAGGCCCCTGCAGGCCACCAGGAAGAGCTAGAGGGAGTTGCTGCAATTCTAGAGATGCCAGCAGGTGCACCAATCTGTGGCACACATACACTCTCCAATGGAAAACAACTCAAGACCACACCAAGTTTGTATTAAAAAGTATTGTTGTATTACTTTTTAACAACCTCCAACCATTATACAAAATTAAAAATACACACACATACACACACACACACACTCTCTCACAAACAGCCATAGAACTTATCCCAAAAGATCAACCAGGAAATCTTTCAGAATATGACAGATGCATTGAGAAGGCAGAGAAATTGATTACACATACAAAAGGTCGCTTTCCTATGGAATTTCATTAGATTAAATAAGGTGTTCCCTCCTCACAGTCCTATCCTTTTGCGCAATCATATAAATAATCTAGTTAAAGTCCTTGAACTATGATTTGTATAATTTTTAGTTTTCCCCTTTTGAAGGGGCCTAAGAGAAAGGTTTGAGAAACCAGCTCTTGGGGGGTGGGGAGGGGTAAGGGGTAAGAGGGTCCTGTGCCTTTCATTCAACCTGGGAGTTTCTCAGGGTTGCAGCCTTTCCACCTGAGTGTTTATTCTTGTACATTTTCTCATCTTTCTCCTGGGTTCATAGGATCCTGGAGATTACCTAGTCCAATCCTTTTGTTTCAAACAAAAAACCTGAGGCTCAGAGAGGCTAAGTCAAATGCCTAGGGTCACACAGGGCAACTGTGGGAGGTGGATCCTTGAGTCCCAGTCCTTTAAACTGGTTGCCAAATGACATTCTAGAACCTTTCCCCCCAACCCCCTTTTTAATGACAGGGTCTGGCTCTGCCACCCAGGCTGGAGTGCAGTGGCGCGATCTTGGCTCACTGCAACCTCTACCTCCTGGGCTCAAGCCATTCTCCCTCCTCAGCCTCCCAAGTAGCTGGGACAACAGGCACATGCTACTACGCCCAGTTAATTTTTGTAATTTTGTTCTGTAGAGACAGATTTGCCATGTTGCTCAGGCTGGTCTCGAATTCCTGGTCTCAAGCAATACGCCTGCTTAGGCCTCCCAAAGTGCTGGGATTACAGGTAGATTGCTCCCAGTCAGGCATCCCTTCCCCCACCCGCACCCCCCTAACCTGGCCTAGATTCACAGGAACTGTAATCACAGCTGACACACTCGATTCAGAATCAGCACAGAGAGCACTCTGAAAATTGTCAAATAGGGTCTCTGAAACTTGTATGTATTAAATAAGGTGTTCCCTCCTCACAGTCCTATTCTTTTGCACAATCATATCAATAATCTGGTTAAAGTCCTTGAACTATAACTTGTGTAATTGTTAGTTTTCCCCTTTTGAAGGGGCCTAAGAGAAAGGTTTGAAGGTTCAAGATCTTCTCCTGAAGACCCTGAAGCACCTTTGCTCTTTTTTTTAACCTTAAAATATGGCACTCAGGTTTTTATCCCTCTCCCCAACGCCATGTTTCCTTTCTGTATTAGTCATGTGCCTGATCCTAGAGTCTGTTTTCCCCACTTTAACTGGGGAGGGCTGGACAAGGTGGAATTCCAAGTGCAGGAGACAGGATGTGACACAGGTGAGATGCCCACGGCTCACTGACTGAAACTTCGATGGCTCTTCCCTGTTTCCTTGTGCAGGGCCCCCCTTCTCTCCAGGGGCTCCCCTGGCTCTCCTCCTCCTTTCCTGCCTGCTTTGCAGCTCTTGCTACTATTTTCCTTTTCTTTCACTGCTCCCACCCTGGCCCAATTTACTTCCCAGAAATATCACAGGGCCAGCTGGGCGCAGCGGCTCACCCCTGTAATCCCAGCACTTTTCGAGGCTGAGGAGGGTGGATCACTTGAGGTCAGGAGTTAGAGATCAGCCTGGCCAACATGGTGAAATCCCGTCTCTACTAAAAATACAATAATTTGCCAGGTGTGGTGGTGGGCGCCTGTAGTTCCAGCTACTCGCGAGGGAGGCTGAGGCAGGAGAATCACTTGAACCCGGGAGGCAGATGTTGCAGTGAGCCGAGATCACGCCATTGCGCTCCAGCTTGGGTGACAGAATGAGACTCTGTCTCAAAAAAAAAAAAAAAAAAGAGAAAAGAAAAGAAATATCATAGGGTCCTGGACCACCTCTGAAACCACAGAGAACCCTGCTCCCTGGTAAACATGATGCAGAAACATCTTAAGTGCATTAGTGTAAAGGGAAGGTGCACACGTGCTTCCTTCAAAGTCCATCACTTTGAATATGTAAACAATGCACTCAATGATACTATGGTTCCCATACTGGGAATCTGCATAGGTGATGCCACCTGGAAGAATGGAGTACCCTACAGTTCCCTACCTCTTCCCTTGGAGAACACTTGCAGATGATAAGGCAGCAAGTTAGGGTGCAGGGAGACAGAACCCTATAGGTGCTTGTCTGTCCAAGTTCATTCAATAGTTTTGGAGTCATCTCATTATATAACCATCCCCAAGGTCAACATCTGACTCAGAAGTCTCACTTTGATCAGATGGAGCATCTTCAGATTGCAGGCCCTCTGAAGAGGGGCTGGGAAAGGTTAGCTGTGTCCCTTCCCCACTGGCCAGCAAATGGCTTGACTGCACATTGTCAGGATCTTCTGGGTCAACCATCTCTTCTGGATGAGATGACATCATCAGAGGGGCTTCTTCTAAGTTGTCACTGTCCTCGTCATCAAGAACCCTCAAAAATACAGAGTTTAAATCCACATTGAAGGTAATTCTGCCCCCCGACCCCTCAGTGGAGCTGTAGTCCTCTTCGGGAAAGGGGTCCTGGAGCGGACTCTCTCTCCTCTCACAGGGCGCACTCAAGAGCTCCAACTGCTGAGGGCTGCACTTTGGCGTCGTGGGGAGCTCCACATCAACCTCAGGCAGGTCAGGCTCCTCCTCGGAGTCTGGGTCTGTAAACTGGGATTCTGTAGAGGTGGCGGAGGCCTGACCCAGGGGCCTGACAGTCAGTCCATGCATGGTATAGCCACCGCCACTTGTCCTGAGTGCTGCCTCAGTATCGCTGTCACTTTCATCATCATAATTATAATCCCACACTTTCTTCTTTCTGTTGATGTAAATGACCTCCACTATATCCATGGCTTCCAACGGTGGCAGGTTAGGAAATGGGCAGGCTAAAAAGTTATGAAAATTCTTAAAAAAAGAAAAAAAAAAAGAGAGAGTCCGTATCAGCTATGACTGTTTGCTCTTTATTTTTTACATAATAAAACTTAATCACTGGGGCTCAGGGATGCACGCTTGTAATTCCAGCTACTGGGGAAGCTTAGGCAGAACGACTGTTTGAGCTCAGGAGTTTCAGACTGTAGTGCATTATGATCGCGCCTGTGAATAGCCACTGCACTCCAGCCCTTAGCAAGACTTTGCCTCTAAAAAAATAAAAAATAAACTTAATGAGATTGACTGAACGATGATGCAGATGATGATGATGATAACAGCAATAATAACAGCTAACAGTTACACCATTTGCTGGGCACGACTCTTGGTGCTTTATATATAATTTACCTTTCCCTCACAATTGCTCTATGAAGTAGACTTACTATTCTTTTTTTTTTTGAGACGGAGTCTCGCTGTGTTGCCCAGGCTGGAGTGCAGTGGCACGATCTCAGCTCACTGCAACCACCACCTCCCAGGTTCAAGCAATTCTCTGCCTCAGCCTCCTGAGTAGATGGGATTAGAGGTGCCCACCACTACGCCCGGCTAATTTTTGTATTTTTAGTAGAGACGGGGTTTCACCATATTGGCAAGGCTGGTCTTGAACTCCCAACCTCGTGATCTACCTGCCTCGGCCTCCCAAAGTGCTGGGTTTATAGGCGTGAGCCACTGTGCCTGGCCAGGCTTACTATTCTTATGCCCACTTTATAGATGAGAAAATGAGGCGCAGAGGTTAGGAAAATTGCTCAAGGTTCATGACTAGTGAGTGGGAGCAGCTGCCTTTCAAACCAGGCAGGCTGCTGGCCTCAGAGACTTTGCTCTGACTGATTCCTCTTAACTTCCTCTCCTTTGGCTGCTTCTTTATATTTTTAAGTTATTTATATATTTTTAGAACTAGGGTCTCACTCTGTCACTGAGGCTGGAGTGCAGTGGTGTGATCACAGTTCACTGCAGCCTCCACCTCCTGGGCTCAAGCAATCCTCTCACCACATCCTCCTGAGTAGCTGAGACCACAGGCATGTGCCACCACGCCTGGCTAATTTATTTTTATTTTCTCTAAGAAGAGGTTTCCCTATATTGCCCAGGCTGGTCTCGAACTCCTGGGCTCAAGTGATCCGCCTGCCTCGGCCTCCCAACCGTGCCCAGCCCTTTTTAAATCTTTTCATAGGATAAATCCACTTTGTGTATATGTTCCACTGATGTAATCCAAAATAAAAAGACGATCCATATAAAAATGTTTATTGTACTATTCATCATGACCAAAGAAAGAAAGAAAAGGGAAAGAAAGAAATCCAAATGCCCTATAGCTGAGAAACGGTTAAATGAAAAATGGTATGTTAATAATAATGAAATTCTACCTGGTCATTATAAATTATAGGTGATGAAGTATAAAACAAACAAAAACACACAAACAAAAAAACATTGCTGGGCACGGTGGCTCACACTTGTAATCCCAAAACTTTGGGAGGCCAAGGCAGGTGGATCACTTGAAGTCAGGAGTTCAAGATCAGCCTGGCCAACATAGCAAAACCCTGTCTCTACTAAAAATGCAAAAATTAGCCAGGTATGGTAGCGCATGCCTGTAGTCCCAGCTACTTGAAAGGGTGAGGCATGAGAATTGCCTGAGCCCGGGAGGCAGTTACAGTGAGCTGAGACCACGCCACGGTACTCCAGCCTGGGTGACAGAGTGAGACTCTGTCTCAAAAAAAAGAAAGAAAGAAAGAAAGAAAACATAAAATGCACAGATACACTTACAACTGCAAAATATATATTTATAGGGATGGAAAAGAACTCAAGAGTGAGAAAGCATTTTGGTTTTTATAGAAAATGAGATTTTCTTCTGTGAAAATATTTATATAAATACAAATTCTTAAGTTAAAATAAAAAACAAAGGTAGAAAGAAAAAAAAAACACAAAAAAACTACCTACCAAGACTTTGGGGAGGCTGTTTCTTAAGCATATATAACCAATCCATTTCAGTGTCACTATGGTGCTTATCAAGACCAACGCTATCAAAAACACAGTAATTATTCCTCCTACTTTGGCAGATTCTGCTGATTCTGTTGATGAAAAATTAAATGACTTTAATTCAAAAAAATGCAATAAACAATTGCAGATGGAAATAAATGTACATTGGTCTGGTGTTACAAGGTGATCAAGAAACCAAAGGTTTGAAAAAACAGTTTTATATGGAGAAATACCGAAGACTGGAGAATAATCTAAGTGTGCATTTTTTAAACAATAACACAGACTTAGCTTTTAAAAGTAAAATTTCCTTCAGTTTCTGTTCTGTAACTGCACTGTCCAGTGGAGTAGCCACTGGCTGCAGTTGGCTGAATTTAAATGATCAAAATTAAATCGAGTTAAGAGCTCGGTCTCTCAGTCACGTGAGACACATCTCAAACGTTCGGTAGCCACGCTGGTTAGCATGCGCTGCGGGCAGGAAGAAGTGGGGAAGGAAAGTTTGCTTGAAAACAACCAACTGGGTCATTCTGAGGCTGGACTTTAGCCATGCCAGGGCCCCAAATCAGGGCTCTGCAGAACCCGCCTTGCTCTATTAACAGTTCCCCTTTGTTTCTCATCAAGATTCCTTTTGGAAAATTTCAACTTTCTGACTGACCATAGTTATTTTGCTGAAGTGCGACCAGACTGAGAAATCAGTAGTTAAATCACTGAGGCTCTCTTGCACTTCCAGAAAGGTCTTCATTAGTATTAATCCTGGAACTATAGCCTCAGGCAAAAATAGATAGAGGGGAGAAAAAAGGAAATCAAAATGCATTATGTACTCTAAGTCTTCCAGAAGGTTAAGGAGTGAATAAAAAGATGTTCAGTAAACCCTTGCACTGCTAGGTAGCACAGGGTTCAAGAATCCACTCTCACCCCAATCAAGAGAGTGTGAAGGATTGTCATATCAATGACAGTTCCAGAATCGGATCTAGCCACAGAGGCACACCTTTACGATACGAAATTCTGACATGTATAGAGTTTACATTCTTGAAAGGGGTAATGTAAACCAAAATGATTTCATTGGTGAAGGAATGGCGTAATACAGAGATTGTGACTCACGTACCCATCCAACTTGCATATAACAGCTACAAAGAACTCTATGTCATCTATCTAATAGGACATCCTCCAAACCAAATTGTGTAAATTGTAGTTAATATGCTAGAATAATATTCCTCAATTTGGGGTATTCTCATGAGTCTGAGAATTCTTCAGGAGAACTTAGAATTTTTGTTTGTTTTCAGCTTGCTGATAATCTAAAACATACAAATCTCACTTGTGGTCATGACAATTATACATGCATGCTATTTTAAAATATTCATATTTGAAAAGAGATGAATCCGGTCAATGTTCCTACTCAGAAAGGAGAAGCTGTGATTGGGTGTTACGGCTGTTAACTATCTTCTTCATGAAAGATGGGCCAGATCAACCCATCTTGGGAAGGAGAGACCAGGTCGTGTCTTAAAAATTTGGCCTTGGACAAACAAACCTGTCTGTCTCTGGATTCATTGTGGAGATATTTTAAACAAAAAATTAGAAACCTCACAAGCAGGGGGCTGAACTGAGCAACCGGGTTGGTAATATCTGATCACTATGATCTTTAATGGAAAAGAGAAAGAACTTTGTGAAAAGATTGGTGATGACTAATATCAGTCTCGTATAGTTCCTCCCATACTTACCTCTCTGGAACAAGCAAGACTGCCCCTCCCCTGGGTGACTGCAGTAATCAGCCCAGGGGTCACCTGGTTCCTCCTTCAAGGCATGTGGATGTTCCCTTTACATCCTAAGTCAGATCCCGGGGAGCAACCTGCTCACAACCTTCTGAGGGCCCCCATCTCTTGCAATGGCTTCTAAGTTCTACATCATTCAGGCTCCTCCATCCTCTCTGACCCGAACTATTACTATTCTTCCCTTGTTCAGTTCACTCCTGCCATGCCATGCCAGGCATATCCTGCCTCGGGGACCTGGCACTTGCTGAACCCCGCATATGGAACACCCTCCCCGATATGTCTGCGTGACTCACTCCCTCACCCTGTGTTTCTTTCCCATTACCACTGTAACAAATGATGACAAAGTCCGTGTCATAAAACGATACAAATACATTAATAGTTCTGGAGGTCAGAAATCCACAATGGGTTTCACTGGGATAAAAAATATCAAGGTGTTGGCAGGACTGCACTCCTTCTGGAGGCTCTAGGGGAAAACCCATTTCTTTGCCTTTCCCAGCTTCTAGAGGCCACTTGCACTCCTTTGCCCATGGCCCCCTCTTTCATCCTTACTCTCTGACCTCTGCTGCTGCTGTCAGAGCTCCTTCTCTGCCTCTGAGTCTCCTGCTTCTCTTTTTTTTGAGACAGAGTCTCGCTCTGTAGCCCAGGCTGGAGTACAATGGCACCATCTTGGCTCACTGCAACCTCCGCCTCCCGGGTTCAAGTGATTCTCCTGCCTCAGCCTCCCAAGTAGCTGGGACGACAGGCGCATGTCACCATGCCTCACTAATTTTTGTATTTTTAGTGGAGATGGGGTTTTACCACGTTGGCTAAGCTGAACTCGAACGCCTGACCTCAGGTGATTCACCTGGCTCGGCCTCCCAAAGTGCTAGGATTACAGGCATGAGCCACGGTGCCCGGCCAAGATCTTCAATTTCATCACACCCACAAGCCCCTTTGGCATAGAGGTTAGTCTGTTCACATATCTGCGATTAGGATGTAGACTAGACATCTTTGGGGGCCATTATTCTGCTTACCACATCTCCCTTGGGTCTTTACTCAAACGCTACCTTCTCAGGAACGCCCTCTCAGGCCATCTGTGGTGGATGCTGTGGGTGGCCGGCTCATGTCCCCTTTTCCAGTCAGTGCACACCCACTACTGCTGCTGCACATGTCTGCTTATATATCTCAGAGCTGATCCTTCTCTAAGTGACAGGTGAGGCCAACTGGATTTCCTGGGTGGAGTGGGGACTTGGGGAACTTTCCTGTCTTGCAAGAGGACTGTAAAATGCACCAATCAGGAACATTTTTGTCTCACAAGAGGATTGTAAAATGCACCAATCAGCGCTCTGTATAACACACCAATCAGCGCTCTGTAAAATGCACCAATCAGCACTCTGTAAAATACACCAATCAGCACTCTGTAAAATACACCAATCAGTGCTCTGTAAAATGCACCAATCGTCAGGATCCTAAAAGTAGCCAATCACGGGGAGGACTGAAAAAAGGGCACTCTGATAGGACAGAAACGAACATGGGAAAGGACAATAAGGGAATAAAAGCTGGCCCCGTCCAGCCAGCAGTGGCAGCCCCCTCAGGTCCCTTTCCAAGCTGTGAAAGCTTTGTCCTTTTGCTCTTTACAATAAACCATGCTACTGCTCACTCTTTGGGTCTGTGCCATCTTTAAGAGCTATAACACTCACCACAAAGGTTCATGGCTCCATTCTTGAAGTCAGCAAGACCACGAACCCACTGGCAGGAACCAACTCTGGACACATAAGGAATTGCCCTTGCCCAAAAGGGGGCTGCCTCATCTGGAGGCCATGCCATAGATCACCACCAGTAACTGACTGGCTGCTGACTTGAAGACATGGTTCATGCTTCAGAGAACCCCTTGGGATCAGGCTTAGCTGAGAGCCACATGCTTGCTTAATTTCTCTCTCCCCATCCCTACCTGTTCCCTCTTTCCCCTTCTCCTAAGATGCCCCCACCAATAAATCACACTTAAAAATGAATTCACATCCCAGGTTCTGCTTCTAGCAAATGCAAATCAAGACACTGTCCTATTAAAAATAGCAACCCACTCTCCTCCACCTGACATCCCCCTTACCTCCTTTCCTGCATAATTTTTTTCCATGGTACTTACTTAACATACAATCTATTTTACATGTTGATCTTGTTCTGTCTCCTAATGCAATGTAAGCTCCACAAGATGAGAAGTTTTTATCTGTTTTCTTCACTGCTAAATCCTCAATATCCAGAAAAGAATCTGGCTCATAAGAGGCCCCCAATAAACATTTGTCAAATGAATGAACAGAGCTTTTCCTTAGGGCCTAAATATTAATAAAAGGGTCACACAATTAATTTTAGGGCTTGACAAGGGGAAGGTGTTTATCCAGATCTCTGGGCTAAAATCCCCCCATATCAGTCTGCCCTAGGATCGCAGTGCTTACTGCTGAGCCTATGTTAATGCTGGTCTCAGGCTATCCTTCCAAGACCCCTCACCATCCAAACCTGTCTGGTGTCTGAGTTTGGCTAGTTGAGAGTAGGTCAGATGGCAAGCAGAGAGTGGCAGAGGTCACGTTACCTGAACCTATTTGCTTCCTGAGTTTCAAACAAGAATTTGACATCAGGTACAGTATTTGGATAATTAGAGAGTGTGGCACTTGACCTGTCTTGGGTAATAATCAAAGAATGAGGGCTGACTTGATGTGCAGCATGACGTGTTCACACCAAGTAAAAATGGAATAACCCGAGAGGATGTTGTTATGTTTCACCTCGGTAGGTGAAATGGAAAAGAGTCAGGGGAGAAAGTGAGTCATCACAGAGTTCATCAGCCTTCAAGGAGCTTGTGCCTTCTCAGTCAGCAACACGTTCACCTTGGAACTGGGAACTGAGTTTCAATGGTAGACACCATCTGTCTACCAGGTCACTAATTTCAGTTTTTATTGTCTATAGGAGTTTTGTTTTTATGTAAGATCAATGATATAATAAAACATACATATATATCCAGTTTTTGTCCCTAGCTCCTGGAGCAGAGCTTCAAAAATCTGTGGAATTTCCTGAACGATAGGAGTGTCTTTTGTCCACAAGCCCCTTTTAGGGGCCATATATGAGTTTATGCTTGTGAGGCGACGGGGCAGGGTGTGGACAGCTTCAGGATGAGGGCTGGTCCCTAGGAAAACTAACCACATATGATCAGACGGTTGGAACTGCCAGCTCCCCCATTTGACCTCTATCCAAGGAGGGGAGTGGGCTGGAGACTGAGATCAATCCTGCAGCCAGTAATTTAATCAATCACACCTACATAATGAAACCCAATACAAACTGTGAACACCAAGGGTTGGGGAGCCCCTAAATTCATGAACATATGGATGCACAGAGAGGGTGGTACACCCTGATTCCCCAGGGCCAGAAGCTCCTGCACTTGGGATCCTTCCAGACCTTGTCCTGTGCACCTCTTCAATGGCTGTCCCTCAATTCCTTTATAATAAAGTGGTAATCATAACACTTTCCCGAGTTCTCTGAGTCATTTTAGCGAAGTATCAAACCTAAAGGGAGGTCATGGGAACTCCCGAATTTGTAGTCAGGTCAGATGAAAGTGCAGGTAACCTTGTCACCCAGGACTTGTGGCTGGCGTCTGACGTGGGGGCAGGCAGTTTTGTGGGACTGAGCCTTTCACCTGTGGGGTCTGTGCTAACCTCGGGTAGTGTCAGAAATGAACTGAATCATTGGACAACTAGTTAGTGTCAGATAGCTGGTGTTAGAACAAAGATATGCACATTTATTTTCCATTTATATTTCTGAAAGAGCTATAGTCAGATAGAATCTATATGTAGTTTTAGGTTTGCCTGTATTTTGTTGACATAAAAATAACTTAAGCTAAAGGTGTCTGAGATGTTCTTTCCTTTAGAACCAGTCTATGCATCATCTGGTCTTGAGGAACACTAGAGAATCAAATCATACTGCCCTGTAGTGAAGCCAACACACAGCACTGTTATGTGCTAGGCAACGTTCCGTAGCTCACTTCATTCACAAATGACCATATCACTTTGTCAATGAAAAGAGCCAAAGTCAGTAATATACTTGAAGAGATTTAGTCTGAGCCAAATACAAGTGACCAATGGCCCATGACACAGCCCCAGGAGATCCCGAGAACCCTTGGTCAGGGTGCAGCTTGGTTTTATACATTTTAGGGAGACATAAGGCATCAGTCAATGCATGTAAGACGTACACTGGTTCAATCTGGAAAGGTGGGACAACTCGAAGTGGGGGCTTCCAGGTCATAGATAGATTCAAAGATTTCCTGATTAAAGACTTGGAATTAATAAAAGGAAGCATCTGGATTAAGACAAAGGGTTGTGGAGGCCACGGTTCCTATTATGCAGATGAAGCCTCTGGTAGCAGGCTTCAGAGAGAATAGATTGTAAATGTTTCTTACCGGACTTAAAAAAGTGCCAGACTCTTAGTGAATTCTCTCTTGGATCAGGAAGAAGACCTGGACTGGGAAGGGGGTTCTTTAGAGAAAGCAGATTTTCCCTGCAAGAGACAGCTTTGCAGGGCCATTTTACATATGTCAAAGAAATGTATTTTGGGGTAAAATACTTTGATTTCTTTTAGGGCCTGCTACCCATCATGTTGGTATTAGTGCTACAAAGCGTCTTTTTGTCTTAAGGTTTCTGTTTTAACATTAGTGCTGGCCAGCTGTGCCTGAATTCCAAAGGTAGGAAGGTACAGTGAGGCACGTCTGGACCACTCATTCCCATCATGACCTGAACTGGTGTTTCATTTACTTTACTGTATTTGGCCCTTGTCCAAGAGGAGGGGGGTCCATTCAGTTGGTTGGAGGGCTTAGAATTTTATTTTGGTTTACAACTGAAGTAATTTCTTTATAGATCCTACCTTATTTTTATTCTCGTAAATCAGAACATTAAAGATACTTCCATTGGTGTCAGAGGCATTTGAGCCAGAACAACTCCATCTTGAATAGAAGCTGGGTAAAATGAGGCTGGGACCCATTGGGCTGCATTCCCAGACAGTTAAGGCATTGTAACTTACAGGATGAGATAGGAGGTGGGCACAAGATACAGGTCGTAAAGACCTTGCTGATAAAACAGACTGCAGTAAAGCCGGCCAGAACCCACCAAAACCAAGATGGTTGTCCTCACTGCTACACTCTCACCAGCACCATGAGTTTACAAATGCCACGGCAATGTCAGGAAGTTACCCTACATGGTCTAAAAGGGAGAGGCATGAATAATCTACCCCTTGTTTAGCATATCGTCAAGAAATAATCATAAACATGGGCAGCCAGCAGACCTTGGGGCTGCTCTGTCTATGGAGTAGCCATTCTTTATTCCTTTACTTTCCTAATAAACTTGCTTTCACTTTATGGACTCGCCCTGAATTCTTTCTTGTGCAAGATCCAAGAACCCTCTCTTGGGGTCTGGATTGGGATCCCTTTCCCCTACCACTGGGGTTGGGACATTTAGAAGGGCTTCTTTGAGGAAGACTTGGATAGCTTCTCACTTTTGGTAAAATAGGTGGAGACTTGGCTACTTCCTGAGAAAACAATCAGCAGGGAGTTCCGAGATTTGATTGTTCTCACTCCCAGGGGGAGGAAGGTTTGGGATCACACTGTTTACTGTTCTGATGTCTGTGTAACAGAAAGGTGTTCAGCCTTCATTAGTGATTTTCTCGCACACCCTGGCAAGGGTCCCTTTCATCTATGAGCTACAGCTGATGCCAGATCACATCTATGAACTGCACCCAACCTCGCTGCTTCCACCTTTTCACCCCTTAATGCCACTGTATGCCACTGTCTCAAGCAGCTCCACCTCTTCTGGCATTTGGCTTCAGCAACGGCCACACTAAGGGCACACAGCGCTGAATTTAATCCTGACTCCCTGAAATGAAAGCATTTCCATTTCAAGACTTCTGATCTCATCGAGTAGTATCTGATTGTCTTTTGGTATGACAACATAAAAGTGACTCTACCAGATCGTACACACGAATCAACAGAAAACACCTCTGGGAGGTGCCATTATTGGAAGAAAGACCTTTAGTGCTCCACGAATTTCTGATTCTTTTCTTTAAATAGGCTTGCCCTCAGAGTAAAAGCATGAATACTCAAAACACGAATTTAAAAAAATGAACATACCTGATTCCTGGCCAGGTTGAAGGAGGGTGCATTTTAAGGGAGACTTTATGACTGCCTGCTCATCGTTATGCTCGAAATAAACAGATACACAGTAGTTTGTGTTTGGAATTAACTTGTCAATGATATAGGTGAAATTTCCACTCATGTTTCCTTTTATTGCGGGTTTATGCTGTAAAAATAAGCAAAAAATCAGTAAGACTCTGAGAATTTCATTTAGAGGCAGGCCTTAAGAATCTCTTTTGGGATTTGTCTTCAAATCTCAAACAGGGTTAGATTTATCACAGGCTTGGTAAGAAAAAGGATTTATAAGTCACCTGGAGTACGTAAGCTATCAGAAAACTACACCTACATGCACTTATATACACCCGCACACACACATATTTTACACCCATGAAATCTAGTCTAGCAACTTCATTTTACAAATGAGATAAAAGTCTTCAAAGAGGAATAAAAGTCTCTGTGACATCATTTTTACATGATTATCTTCTCTCATGGACAGCGTGTGTCTACTTTACACTTGAGAAAGTGCCTTCATAGCATTAACTCTTTTGACTTTCAAAACAGTCTGCAAAATAGGCATTCTCTCCATTCAACGGATGAGAAAACTGTAGCTCAGTGTGGCTAAGTAACTTCTCCAAGGTCACAGAGCTTGTCTGTGACAAAACTGACGTCTAGTTTCTCATCTTCTCCCTTTATCGATAGATAGATAGATAGATAGATAGATAGATAGATAGATAGATAGAGATAGATAGATAGATGGGGGTCTCACTCTGTTGCCCAGGCTGGAGTGCAGTGGCACGATCTTGGCTCACTGCAACCTCCAACTCCTGGGTTCAAGAGATTCTCTTGCCTCAGCCTCCTGAGTAGCTGGGATTACAGGCGCCTGCCACCATGCCTGGCTTTTTTTTTTTTTTTTTGAGACACAGTCTTGCTCTGTCTGGAGTGCAGTGGCTGGATCTCAGCTCACTGCAAGCTCCACCTCCCAGGTTTATGCCATTCTCCTGCCTCAGCTTCTGGAGTAGCTGGGACGACAGGTGCCCGCCACCACGCCCGGCTAGTTTTTTGTATTTTTTAGTAGAGATGGGGTTTCACCACGTTGGTCAGGCTGGTCTTGAACTCCTGACCTCAAGCGATCTGCCTGCCTTGGCCTCCCAAAGTGCTGGGATTACGGACGTGAGCCACCGCGCCCAGCCATCCCCCTTTAAACACCTGGCCTCTTCTTTCCTGTAGTTGCGTTCCACTTCAGAATTTAAAAGATGATATGAAGGCTCTTTCATGAATAATAACTTTTGTATCATGTTTTACAGTTTTTTAAATACATTCTTACTAGCAGTTTAATAAATGAGGATTCCTAGCAGCTCACATACAGCCTTCAGTAATAATGTTTTTCTGTAAATTTCTGTTTGGGAGGAGGAGTTAGTAAACAAACTTACGACCCAACAAACTAAAAGCTTCCCCTCCAGTGACCACCACACAGCCTCCTTCCCTGTTTGGAAAAACTCCTTAGAAAAATGAGTTCTCTTCACTGTCTCCAATTTTTCTCCTCCTGCTCTTTCTTGAATCTACTCCAACCAGCTCTTTGACCTTGACTCTATTAAAACTACTTTTATCAAGGACACAATGTTGCTAAATCCAATAGTCAGTCCTCTTCCATTGTCCCATTTGCAGCACTGGACTCAGTAAACCACTTTCTCCTTCTGGAACGTTCTTCTCTCAGCTACCGGGACACCACTCTCACCTGCTTCTCTCCATGCCGGTTGCTCTTTCTCAGTCGATTTTGCTGTTTCTTCCTCATGTGCCAGATCTCCAAATTTTGGAATGTTCCCGGGGTTATGTCCTTGGACGCCTTCTCTTCTGAGTGTCTATTCCAGGTGATCTCATCTGGTCTCAGGGCATTCAACATGCACCAAGAAGCCAGTGGCTCCCAGGCTCTCTCTCTAGCTGGGGGTTCTCCCCTGGACTCCAGACTGGCACATCCAGCTCCTTCCCCACGTCTCCTCCTAGATCCCTTACGGGCACCTGGAATTTAACATGTCCCAAACCCTCTAACCCTATCTAACCCTCACCTGCTTCATTCATCATCTTCCATAGTTAATGGGGAAGTTCGTCTTGCTCCGTGTGCAAAATATATGCAGAATTATGAGCTGGGCATGGTGGCTCACACCTGTAATCCCAACACTTTGGGAGGCTCAGGTGGGTGGACTGCCTGAGGTCAGGAGTTAGAGACCAGCCTGGCCAACACAGTGAAACCGTCTCTACTAAAAATACAAAAAATTAGCTGGGTGTGGTGGTGGGTGCCTGTAATCCCAGCTACTAGGGAGGCTGAGGCAGGAGAATTGCTTGAACCTGGGAGGCGGAGGTTACAGTGAGCTGAGATCGTGCCATTGCAGTCCAGCCTGGGCAACAAGAGTGAAACTCTGTCTCAAAAACAAACAAGCAAACAAAACTCCAAAATATATGCAGAATTTGATGGCTTCTCACTACTCATTACCCCTCTACTATCAAGGTCCAAGCCACCACCATCTGTTGCTTGGATTATACTAGTAGCTTTTTTTTTCTTGATTTAATTTAAAGGCTAATTTTCTTTATGAAGAAGGTGTCTATTAACTACAGTTTTTCCTCTTACAGAGTAGTCAGTATCCTAATAAGCATCAGTCTCTTATTTTAGGAATCATAATCTAAAACATAGAGTTAGTTGCTTATGGGGTGAACACAAATGAGACATGATTGAAACAGGAGATTTAGTGACACTTCACATAGTCCTTAGGCTACATAAACTTATTTTCCCCCCATTTTTGCTCCTTTTCCTAGAGTATTGATTATAATCCATGTTGATATTAAAAGAAACATGATAATAATCATATAATTTGTTACTGCCTATTAAGTGACTGCCACCCTGATTGTGTCTTAACTGGTCTCCTAACTCCCATCTTTGCCCCTATGGTCTATTTTTAACAGCCCAGCCAGGATGCCCTGTTAAGCCTTGGGTTCCAGGGGCTTCCATCACACTCAGAAGACCCAGACCCACAAACTCCTACCAGGTCCAGCCACATTTACCCTCTGACCTCACCTCCCCCTCACCTCCTGCTTGGTCACTCCAGTTCAGCCACCTCTCCCTGCTGCTGCTGAAACACACCGGGCCCACTCCAGCCTCAGAACCTTTGAACTTCCTGTGCCCTCTGCCTGAAATGCATCTACCCTGATTATCTCTCAGGCTGGTCTTACTTGCAAGGGTTTTCTACTTGGCAAAGGGCTCTACAGACATAAGCTGCTGCTATACCAGTGAGAGCAATTTGTCCATTTCCACTTATTCCAGCATTCGGAGGGACAGGGACAACAAAAATTGAAGATCCAGGTCTGTCTGATACCAGATTACCCTAAGGTTACTGACAGTCAGGTCCTTCGCAGAAATTATGAGAGGACAGAACTGCCAGAAGAGCCACTTCCTTACTGTGTGTGACAGCCAGACAGGCAGCGACAGATGCTTTTCACAGGTGGCTCAGCTAAACCCTCCTTTTCAAAGAAATCTCTCCAGGGCTCACTGAAATTTGGCTGTACTCTGCATCTCCCTCCCACACCCTCTCTCCCGTGTGTTCCTTTATGTTGTATATGTGGCTTATTCTTTTTTTTTTTTTGAGACGGAGTCTTGCTCTGTTGCCCAGGCTGGAACGCAATGGTGCAATCTCGGCTCACTGCAACCTCTGCCTCCCAGGTTCAAGCGATTATCCTGCCTCAGACTCTGGAGTAGCTGGGATTACAGGTGTTTGCCACCAGACCCGGCTAATGTTTGTATTTTCAGTATAGATTGGGTGTCACCATATTGGCCAGGCTGGTCTCAAACTCCTGACCTTAGGTGATCTGCCCACCTTGGCCTCCCAAAGTGCTGGGATTATAGGCGTGAGCCACCACGCCCAGCTGTGGTTTATTCTTTTAAAGAAGACTGTGCTGCAGGTTTAGATCAATATAGTGAATGAACTATAGTGACTTCTTCCCTAAGGTCAGATCACACAGAAGCCTGACCTTTCAGCTTTAATTGTTCAACTGCAAATTTCCTTTCAAAACAGACAGTCAAGTGCATTGACTACCCACTCAGAACTGTTTTGATCCTAACAGGAGAAGCCACTTACCTTCTTAACAATCCCCTCTGACTGCTCTTCAATGACCAGTGATAAATCAAACTGTAATTCTTCCTCAACAATAGATGGAAATTTCACGATCACATTAATGTGGTTGGTAAAACCAACAATCTCAAACTCTGGCGGTTCAAAAGACACTGT